CTCAGTTTCCATAGCTCAGTCAACTGCTGACAGTCTTACCCATGGGCCATGGCAGGTGCTGACAGTCTTACCCGTGGGCCATGGCAGGTGCTGACAGTCTTACCCATGGGCCATGGCAGGTGCTGACAGTCTTACCCATGGGCCATGGCAGGTGCTGACAGTCTTACCCGTGGGCCATGGCAGGTGCTGACAGTCTTACCCGTGGGCCATGGCAGGTGCTGACAGTCTTACCCGTGGGCCATGGCAGATGCTGTTTGTCTTGCCACAAGGAACATATGCCCAGCCTCTACTGTTCACCGTGGTCTTCAGCCCTGGGATCCATTCCCAGCACCACATAAACCAGGCAGCAGGAAGAACAAGAATCTGAAGCCATCCTTAGCTACATAGCAAGTTTGAGGCCAGCCTGGGCTACATGAGATACAAAAAGGGAAAAAGAAAGTACCAACTCAACTAAGCTGACCCATTTCTCACGCACCTTTCAGTCCTTTTCTGGTCGTGACAGGAATGTTCTCAGAGCGTGTGTATCTGGTAAGAAACTTCTGGCAAGTTCTTGCTCCCAGGACGCTGAGTGGAAACCACAGCAGCTTGGATTTGGAGCTTGTTCTCAAGGCTCTTGAGTGTTAAGCTCTAGTTATTTCTGAGTAACCCTGAAAGGCCCTCCACTCTTGGGTGGGTTCCAACCTGGACAATTCTCCTGCCAACCCCTTCCCTTGCAGTTAGGCAAGTGTTGGTTTGCGAAAGGGGTTTTGGGTAAATTATTTGCTCATAATATGGGGGGGTCACCTCTACCTCACCTGACACAGCCCTCCCTCGGGCAAGGTCATTATCAGTGGCCAGCTAGCCAGACTTCTCTTGTGGGAATGGCAGAGAGACAAAGTTAATAACAGTCTCTCTCTCTTATTAGCAGCCTGACCCTCCACCACTGATCGCATCAGAGGGGCGGCCCACACACAGTCCCCATCATGTGCACGGGGGGGGGGGGGGGGGAAGCTCGGTAGAGCTCAAAAAGCCACTTTAATCTATCCAGCAGTGACTCCTTCAGGAGTCCGAAATGTCCCCCAAACTAATAACCCGGCAAAGCACCGCCAGGGTAAATTCCTTGCGGATTTGAGATTTCCACTCTCTTAATCTCCTAACTCAATAAAGCAAGCAACAAATTAAATACTTTCCTGAAAGGGACCCCTCCCCCACTTTCTTTGATGTTGGGTGTGATTAGCCTGGGCCTGGGGATCTGGGAGGTGTTATTCTTCACTCCCTACAGTTGTCTTCTGTTATTTTATACAGGCCCAGAATCCAATGGGATTTGCTGGCTCTTTGATTCTGGAAACTTCCGAGACTTCTGGCTTTCCTGAGGTGGGTTCCACCATCCCTTAGCTGAGAGAAATGCTTGCCATTTTTTCGATGAGTGACAAATTCCAAGCAGGTCTGACCAAGCCCCTCTACTTTTGGGTTTTGTTTGTTTTGAGTTTTGTTTGTTTCATTTTGAGTGGGTTTTTCTTTTTTCTTTTTGATGATTTTTGGTTGGTTTTTTGTTTTGTTTTTTCTTTACAACAATGTACCACTGTGTAGCCCTAGCTGGCCTGGAGCTTGCTGTGGTGTTGACCAGGCTGGTTTGCCTCTGGAGTGCTGGAACTGAAGGCGTGGACTACCACTTGAGGCACAGGTTTTGGGTGCACACATTGCCTAAGGAGGGGAGGAGGCAGTCCCTCTTTCCTGGGTCTTTATAAGCTCCCTTCTTCTCTGTTCACCCACTTTGACCAGAAGACACAATGCCCAGGGCAGATGGACTTCAGAGACACCCCACACCCCCCACTCCCCACCCCCCACCCCCACTCCCCACTTAGAGGTGTTAAATGACAGTGCTCCGGGCAGGCTCTGGCTGTTTGAACTGTCCTTTCCCATCTTGTGAGCCCTGGATAGAGATACAGAGGTCCCAGGCTCTGAAGCTGTCTGTATTTGACTCCAGCTCCAAAAGAACTGCCTTCAGGCCTGTGTCCTTTCCTGGTAGTAAGTCCCTAGAAGCTGAGGGGGGTGAGGTCAGGGAAATGGTCAAGAGCCTTGAGAGCTCAGAGCACAAGAGGCCTCAAGCTGGAGGGTCAGACAGGCCTGGGGGCAGGCAAGGCAGACTTAGCTTCCTGTGTCGCTGACCCTTGGCAAGCTACTAGTCCGTCACAGAATTCCATCTGTGAAGCCAGATCCCAGCTCTGCCCTCCTCAGGGTCACTGTGGGGTTTGGATGGGGTGAGTCTCTTAGCACACTGGGGTTCAGTGAACCGTGACTAAGAAGAGGCTCCTGGGCTTGCATGGGGCACTGGGCCCACAGCTGTGGGGCTGCAGAGTGGTTCCTCCCCAAGGCCAGCAGCACCTTCTTCCTCTCAGCGGCCCTCCTTCCGGATGCCCTGGCCGCAGAGAGACCTGAGGATGTGGAATTTGCTCTTCCCTCTGCCCAGCAACTGCCTAGGCCACAGAGGGAACTTCTGGGCTCTGGGTGTCACAGTGATCTCATGCAGACCTCGCCCCGGGCACAGCTGGGACACTGTTGCCTCCAAGGTGACAAAGTGAGGGTCTCAGGAGAGATAAGCCGTAGGAACTGACGCTAAGTATTCAGCCTTTGCCATAGTTCAAAGTGCAGCTCCGCCTGACAAACCTTACTCCTTAGCATCCCATTTCTCTGGATGGAAGCGAGTTGATTTCATCTTAATTTAATCACGCTTTGTTTTGGTTTTGAAACAGTCTTGGGTATTCCAGGCTGGCCTTACACAGGCTACGTAGCTGAGGACGACCTTGAACTTTTCTGGGCCTCCTCCCTCCTTATCTCCTCAGTGCTGGGATTACAGCTGTGTGCTTCCAGGTTTGGTTTGTGTGGTGCTGGGGAATCGAACCCAGGACCTCGTGTATGCTGGGCACATACTTTACCAACCAAGCCAAATAATTTAATAAAATCAAAATGGTTTCTCCTGCATGGAGAAATGGCTCAGCGGGTAAAGTGTTTGCCATTCAGGTTCGAGGACTAGATTGGGATCTCCAGCACCACGTAAAAGCCAGATGAGTGTTACATCTCACGCGCAGTCTCAGGACAGAGGAAGCAGGGCAAGTGGGCTAACCACTGTAGCCAGGCTAGCTGACGGGCAAGCTCTGGATACAAGAGCCTTGTCTTAGACTATAAAGTGGAGAGAAATTGAGAGAAGAAAGATACCTGGTTATCAACCCTGATACTCCACACACACACACACACACACACACACAGGTATGTGTGCCCCAAGACAGGAAAACACACATACACAACCCCTTACCTGGCAGAGGTTAAAAAATTATTACTCAATGGGTGGTGGCGCATGCCTTTAATCCCAGCACTCAGGAGGCAGAGGCAGGCGGATCTCTGAGTTCGAGGCCAGCCTGCTCTCCAGAGCAAGTTCCAGGACAGTCAGGACTACAAAGAGAAACCCTGTCTCAACAAACCATACAACAAAAATATTACTTTTCCAGGAAAGGGGTTGGAGCCACGGAAAGGCTAAGGAGCAGCTGCCTGTCCTCCAGCCCCCGGGGTCCCTCCCAGAGCCCCTCCTGCTGCCCCTGTCTTCCCTCCCCTCTTGGGTTTTGGGAGCACATGGGACTACTAACCTGCTCTGTTTGGCTCAAAGGCCCCTGTGTCCAGTCACTGGGGATAAAACAGCGCCACGTTACTCAGACCTAACTTTAGCTCCTGACTTCACCACACAGCTCCCCACTAACCTAGACAGATTTCCTCCTCCTTCCCCTGTGCATGGGTCTCTCCCTCTGCACTCTTTTATTTATTATTTATTTGGCATGTACGTGCCTGTGTGGTGTGCATGCATGTATGTGTGTTTATGTGGGTATGTGTCTGAGTGTACATACATGGAGAGGGGGCTGAAATTGACGTCTGAAGTCTCCCTCAGTCACTCTCCTGTACGTGCCTGTGTGGTGTGCATGCATGTATGTGTGTTTATGTGGGTGTGTGTCTGAGTGTACATACATGGAGAGGGGGGCTGAAGTTGATGTCTAAAGTCTCTCTCATTCACTCTCCTTTATGTTTATTGATGCCGGGTTTCTCCCCTAACCCAGAGCTCAGCTCACAGATTCTGGCTAGTCAAGTAGTCACTTGTGCTGGGGAATCGCCTGTCCCTGTCTCCTGAGTGCTGGGATTACATGTGACCACCACTCCTGCCCAGCTTTTCCATGGGTTCTAGAAGTCCAAGCTCCGGTTCTCAACCTGCCTGCTTAGTTAGCTCTGTGTCTACTAGCCAGCCCCCGAATTCCTCATGCTTTGTTCCATGGCTCTACCTCTGCTTATCCAAATTGCTGAGGATGACATGCCTAGACCCTTCCCCTGCCACTCAGACTTATGCCTTCTTTGCTGTCCAGCCTGACTGGGTCTTTCCCTTTCACACATTTAGTCTGAACTAATTGACATTAAAGTATGTGACCAGGGTCTCATGGGTCACCGGTCCATCTTTCTGTTTAGACTCCCCTGCCCCCCACTGTGTGTCTGTGTAATACATATGTGTCGATTCATATGTACGAGAGTGCACAGTGTGTGCAGGTCTCAAGATGAGAGGACAAGCTTGTTCCCCAGGTTCTGCCCACCATCTTTAGAGAGATTCTCTCATACTCTGGAACTCAGGCTAGGCTGACTGGCCACGTGCCCCTGAGATCTACCTATCTCCACCTCCTGGCTGGCACCGAGGTTGCAGCCCACAGCATCACTGTATTATTCTGGGAACAGAACTCACATCCTCATTTCCTCCAATCAAGCACTTTGCCAACCAAGCTAGCCCCTCAATTCTTGCATTTTCATTTCTTTGACAATAACAGCCATTTGCATTTGTTCCTTAGTGTTTACAGTTAAGAGACACCAACAGTGGCAGACAGAAAGGCGCTTGCTCATAAATGGGGATGCTCCCTGACAGAACTCAAGCTGTGAGTGCAATCTCCCACCAGCCTATGCCCCAGACACATCCCTCCATTCCGGCCTCCTCTCACCTGGCTGACTCCTTCCACTCCATCTGGTCCCCATCATGCTGTAGAGTGTCCATCTCTGTGAAGAGGGTGGGGTTGGGAGCCTCATCTTCCTCCCCCAGGATGTCCTGCAGCTGCTCAGCAGCCGGAGACCCTGAAAAATGAAGGAGCTGGCTCTGCGGAGTGCCCTGCAGAGGTCAGGAGGCCACAGGGCCAACAGAAACAGAGCAGGCAGGGGCGGGGTGGAAGACACAAGGGATGAGTGTCTCTTGACTCACTAAGACTCCGTCCATGTTCAGCCTTTCCACTGCGTGCAGGTGAGATAAGAAAGGATTCGGTCTGTGTTTGGATTCAGGGTCTTATAAGTGGGAAATGCCCAAAGCCACGGCAGTAGCAGGATCCAGGAATGGAAAAGTGAAACGAGGAACAGCCTAACCCAACTTCAATAGGCACAAAAGCATAGAACGGTTGCCTATTCTACTGGATCCCAACCCATTCAGCAATGGTGAAGAGGCAGCTAGTCAGGGGAAGCCTGGGCTAGTGTCCTGTGGGTTTTTTCCCCACTTTTCTGGTTCCTGCATGTCCTGCCTCCTCACCAGTAGCCTGCTAGAAGTCACCTCCCGAATGTTCTCAGGCACTGTCTTTCCTCCTCCCCTCCCTCCCTCTTCCCGTCACATAAGGACCCCCTGCTCCGTACCAGACATCATCCTTAGTACTAGAAAGCAAAGCAGTGAAGAATTCCCATGAGCTTGCTGAGGTTGTCCCATGGCATAGACGGTAATAAGCAAGCAACCAAACCCATACATGACCACTTGGTTAGTGCCTGTGCTCTGAAGAAAGTCACAGAAGGCCCCTCTGAGAAAGGCATTTTTGAATTGTGACTGGACACACTGGGAGGAAGTGTGCTTGAACGTCGTAGGTGCCGTGGTGGGAATGTGTGGACGGTGTGGCTGCAACACAGCGAGACAGCTGACAAGACGTCAAAGGGTGACCCATGCCTTGGCGGAAGGCACCCTTGGGCGCCTCCTTCGCCTGCTGTCTCCCCTGTGCTTTCAGGAGCGTTTCTTCCCTCCCGCCCTTGGTTCAGCCTCCCATCCACCATCCCCAGACCTCATGATGTTTTCCCCTTTCTTCCAGTTTCTTATCCCCTCAGTCTTTCCCACTTCTGCCTTCCTCTATGTATCAGTAAGTTCTCCATTGTCAGTATTTTCAAGAACTCTCTTGAACCTAACCTCTTCCCTGTAACTTCCCAGTAGAGCCAGGCCTTGACCTCGTCTTCATCTCTGATGTGTCCTGGAGTCCCAGAAGGTAGGGCACACAGTGTGCCCCTAGTCTGTCTCACAGCCATTGCTTGCCCATGAAACTGCCGACACAAGGCTTAGACTACAGAAGGTCCTTATCGCCCCGCACCAACCCCAGAATCCGGGCTCAGAGCCCGTGGAAGGAAGCCTCTTAACCGTGCCCTTGCCAGCAGCTTCCCTGTACTCCTCAGTGCCACCCCTGACCTCCGTGCCTCTCTGTAGGTGGCTTTAGCTCCTACCCACTTCTGTGAGAAAATAAAGGCATTTGGATGTCAAGTCCCCTGGATTCACTCCTGCTAGTCCTTCTGCTGTCATCAACTGCCCTTGGGTCAGAAGACTCCTTCCTCCATTCACCCTCAGTGTCTTACCTCAGGAGGCCTGCCATCTCTGCCCCCTCAGAGCACCCCATCCTCGCCCACGCAGCATGAGTTGCCGCTTTAAACATCCCTAAGATACTCTTACTATGGACTTCGGGATCACAGTGCTCTCTGGGCAACACAGTCTACACAAGTTAGACAATTTTCCTCGCAGAAAGTGCTAGTGACTTACGTGTGTGCAGACCCACAGTGGACTTCCAATGCATTTGTTTTTGAAATTTTTCTGTCCTTTTTAAACTTATTTCACTGGCTTTAAGTTTAAGAAAATTTTGCAGGGCGGTGGTGGCACATGCCTTTAATCCCAGCACTCGGGAGGCAGAGGCAGGCGGATCTCTGTGAGTTCGAGGCCAGGCTGGACCGACGGCCTCCAAAACAATACAGAGAAACCCTGTCTCGTAAACCCAAAAAAAAAAAGTTTAAGGAAATTTTACGTTTAAAAAAGGATCATTCCTGTAGGCATAGTGACAAATGTCTTCAATCCTAGCACCCGGGAGGCAGATGTAGGAGGATCTCTGTGAGTTTGAGGCCAGTCTTGTCTACATAGTGGGTTCCAGGACAGTCAGGGCTACAAAGAGAGATCCTGTCTCAAAAAAAAAAAAAAAAAAAACAAAAATCAATCACCCTCCCCCCCCCAAAAAAAACCCAAAAAACAAAAACAAAACAACAACAACAAAAAAAGATCACTAAAAAACCTTTCCCCTTCAAATCAAGCTATGGCTACTTGGTTCTGATGAGACAAGCCAGTCTACCATGCAATCAGAGTATGCTAGCCACTGCTCTGTTTTGGTTTTGCCACCTGGGAAGCAGATCCAGGGCCTGTGTGTGCTGAGCAAGCACCCCACTACCGGGCAGCCTGATAGAAACTCTTCACGTGTAGATTTGCTCTTGTGCATTTCCAGTTGGAAAGCCTTGGCTGCCTCTCGGTTACCTAAAGCTTAGGCTTGGTGATATTGCAAGCCATCCGCAGGGATCCAGACATAGCCCGAGGCATCCTTCACTGGGCTGCCTCTGAGCCCAGCTACATCAGAACACACACAGTTCTCTGAAAACAAGGGCAATGCCATCCCTTGGGCCTCTGTCCCCATATTTTGTAAATCTGGAATCTTTCACACCCTTTGAGGCCAGGAAGGACAGATCGATCCTGAGGAGATAGCAGATTAGAAAGCACAGACGGGGCAGAGGTCCGTGCGGGAACCAGCCTGTCTGGGCAGTACCTGCTCCCTGGAACAGCTGGGCGCTGGAGTCTCCCGAGGTTGGTGCTGCCTCTGGCCCCAGCCTGTCTCCCTGGCTGCTGCCTCCTCCACGGTTATCCTCTTCCCCACACAAAACAAACTCACTTTTGTTCCAGTTAAGCAGCAAGGGAGGCGGGGAGGAGGAGGGCAGGAGAAGGACGAGAGGGAAGGAGGGGGATTGTGGCTAGAAAGAGAAGAATATATGCAAAGAAAATAGAGATGGAGTGTGAGATTACGTGGAAATCTTGGGAGAAAAGAGCAAAAGAGGGAAAGGGGGCGGGGAGGGCAGGGGAATCTGAGGTATGATGGAGAGAGGAGGCTTAGCAATGAAGCTCCACAGCAGCGGGGTGGTGGCTGCCGGCGACTGTGAGAGAACACCCAGAACTGCCCCTCCCCCCACGCCCCCGCAGCCACACCTCCTCCCTCCCTCGCCCCCGCCCCCTGTGAGCCCTTCGACAGACCTGGAGGCTCCAGTAGTGCAGGGCGCCTCTCGTCGGGCTCCTTTATAAAGGCTGAGGCAGGGAGGTAAGATTTGTACACACACACACACACACCCCAGGGCCTCCTTAAGATCTTAAGATTTTGGTGGCAGGTGAGCAGGCTGCCAGAGCCTGGCAGGCCCCGTTCTCTCTGCAACCACTCGGAGTTCGGTGGAGGTTGGGGTTGCTATGGGGGCGTGTTTGCTGGGGGTCCATACTGTTACATGAAGCTGGATTAGCTTCCTTCCCAACTTTAATTCCTGGGTTTGCAGTTTGTACTCACTACTGAGACAAAGTGCCCAATTGTCACTCAGGGGATGCTCTTTGAGAACCTGTGGACAGTAGGGACTGGTCACTCGGGGTGTGTGTGAACCCCACTGGGGAATTACTTTGCTCTCTGAGAAACTCTTAATCTGGGTCTGGCTCAGCAGTGCTTACACATGCAAGGTTGACCAGAGGTCACCCAGGCTCCCAGGCCTGCGGCAAACTCCAGTTCCTTAGGTCTTAGGGTTGGGAGGGAGCTTAGTGATAGAGACGTGCAAACCTCCAGCTCACAGACAAAAACTGAGCCAGTGAACACCACAAAATGCCCCCAGTGCAGGTGAGTTGACCTGGGGATGCCGCATATCCCCACCACATACTGACTCATGCCTGGGTCCTGACCACATTTTCATATTCAAGGCTTGACGAGCAAGCAGGGCTTGTGTGAGATTCGGTGAAGCAGACGGCTGACCGAGGGGAAGGATGAGCTTGAAGTCTGGAGAGTAGGAGGTTATAGACCAGTGTGCTGCTGCCACTGCCTCATTTGCGGGGGGGTTGGGGGGTGGTGCTGGGGCTTGAACCTGGGGCCTCTGATACGCTAGGCCAGTCCTCTACACTGAGCTACAATGCCCTGTTGTTTTGCGAGACTAGGTCTAGCTGTGGAGCTCAGGCTAGTCTCCTGAGCCACACTCCCAAGTGTAGGGGTTACAGGAGTGCGCCACCACCTGGCTCCAATCATGGCCACTTAAGCCGGGCCTTCTCTAAGGTGCTGTGGCCCCACATACACATGGCACGGGCAAGCTAGGTACAGCAGCATACACCCGTGACTCCATCTCTTGGGAGGCAGAAGCAGCAGGATCAGGGACCCAAGGCCAGCCTCAGCTATATAGTGGAGCTCCAGTCTAGTGTGGGCTGCAGGAGACCCTACCTCAAAAAAAGAAAGAGAAGAGGAAGAAGAGGGAAGACTAGCGCGAGGTGAGGAGGAAGAGGACAGAGAGGGAGGAAGAAGGAGGCAGCTGAGGAGGGAGGCGGGGAAGGAAAGAGAGGGGGTAGGAGGAGGAAAGGACTGACCTTGGAAGGGAAATGCGTGTGGCAGGGTTGAGCCTATTTCGGAAGCACGGAGAGCAGCTCTTTTTCTAGCTGAGGACTGCCACCCATTGCTTGGGCAGAGCACAAGGTGATCTGGTGACACAAACCCTGGCAAGAAGCAAGGGCTTCACCCTAGGAAAGCCGTGGGGAGCAGTTGGGGACACCAAAATGCCAGTGAGTCCAGGCTCTGAGGAGCTGAGTCTCCCCCTCAGCTTTGCGTGGTCAGGGTCTCTGGCCCATTTCCATCGCATCGCTGTCCACTGGCCCGGGGCTTACACGGCATGGGCACTCATGCATACTTTCTGGGTGAGTGAATTTGACTAACACTCACGAGCACATCAGTGGTAGGAGATTAGCTGCCCACAAGAAAGGAGCTAAGAACCTAAGAGCCAGGAAACAGGAGCTGGGGGCGGAGTTGTAGGGGATGCCTGCTGCTGTGAGAATACAGGGGGCAGGGAGACAGGACCCCGGGGTGCCAGGGTCATTCTTGACAAGTGAGAGAGGACTGGGAAACCCCGTGGCCCGTTTTCATGGCTGATAATATCTCTTTTCCTGACACTGTACATAAACTTCAAATGTGTTCTCCAAGGCAGGAGAAGAGAGCCTGAATATTTGTGCTCACAGGAATCCCTCCTGTGGCAGATGGCTTTGGGGACATCTGATGAGCTTGTTTCCCACCCCTGAAAGCTGTCTTTGGGTAACATGACTTATGCCACTGGCCATAACCTGTTAGGTCTGGAGTCGTTAGGTGGACATCTGATCCATGTCTGGAAAGGTTGAATTATGTCTCTCAGCTAGCTGGCCTTTCTCGATGGTTCCTGGGATTGTGAGCACATAGATAGGGCGCTGAGGTGGGGACAGAAAAGAGGAATGAATAGACCTGTCACTGAGCTGCTGGAAAGGCATGCAGCCCCAGAGAGGGGACTCAAGCTCCCTGCATCCTCCAACTCTGCCTTGAGTGAGACACTCTCCTGCTATTACACTGAGAGCTCACACATGTTCCCCTGGCAGACACCCGATTCTTAGAAGTCTCTCCTTCCTCCCCTGGCTCTCTCTTGAGACTTGGCTGCCCATTGAAGCTGACCTCTTGTGGGTGAACTGTACCCTAAAGGAAGCAAGGTCTGAGCAGGCCCTCTCTTCCAGAGCATGCTCTAGTCTCAGAGTACAGGAGGTCACTCCGGGAGGGCCTTTACAGAAATGTTGACCACAGTAAAAAATTGACCACATTCGGCCTCAACCCACATAGAAACTATGACCACTTCTGTCCTCTTTGGATCTACTGGGCTGTGTGGGTATAATGAGCCCCGTTCCTCTGTCACTGTAAACCAGGCTGGTCTTGAACTCACAGAGGTTCACCTGCCTCTGCCTCCCCGTGTGCTGGGATTAAAGGTGTGCACAACCACCACTTGGCTAAGCCCTGTTCCTAAATCAGTTATTTCTGGAAATGCCAAGAGAGCTGAGGCATTCACCCATCTGGGCACAGAGGATGGGACCGATAGCTCATTGGTTAAGAGTGCGTGTTACTCTTGCAGAAGACCCATGTTCAATTCCCAACATCCACATTAGGTAGCTCACAACTGCCTGCCACTCCAGTTCCGGGAGCTTGAACACCACCCTGTTCTGGCTTTGGAGGGCGCCTGCATGCACATGGTACACATATGTGCACTCAGGCACACACACAAATACATAAAGTAAAAATAAATAAATCTTTTTAAAATGAGAGAAAAGCTATATAGGCCTGGTATAGTGGTTCGCGTTATAATCTTATCACTTGGAAGACTGAGGCAGGAGAATTGTTATGAGTCAAGGCCTGTTTGGACCACAGGAGAGATGGTTCAGGAGCTAAGAGCACTTGCTGCTTTTTCAGAGAACCTGAGTTTGGAACCAAAGTTCAGTTACCAGCACCAGAATATAGCAGGCAGCTCTGGAGTTGGGATGCTCACAAGCAGATCCACATAATAAAATAAATAAAACAATAAAATAAGAAAACCCGTGCTGGATAATTTTATGTCAACCTGACACAAGCTAAAGTTGTCTGAGAGGAGGGAACTTCAATTAAGAAAATGCCTCCATCGCCGGGTGGTGGTGGCGCACGCCTTTAATCCCAGCACTCGGGAGGCAGAGGCAGGCGGATCTCTGTGAGTTCGAGGCTGGGCTGGACTGATAGCCTCCAAAACAATACAGAGAAACCCTGTCTCATAAAAACCAAAAAAAAAAGAAAAAAAAGAAAATGCCTCCATAATTCAGGTTGTAGGCAGGCCTGTAGAGCATTTTCTTAATTAGTGATTGGTGGGGAAGGGTCCAGCCCATTGTGGTGGTGCCATCTCTGGGCTGGTGGTCCTGGGTTCTATAAGAAAGCAGGCTGAGCAAACCATGGGGAGAAAGCCAGTAAGCAGCATCCTTCCATGGCCTCTGCATCAGCTCCCGCCTCCGGTTCCCACCCTGCTTGAGTTCCTGCCCTCGCTGTTTGTGACAATGAACTGTTCATATGGAACTGTGAGTGAGATCAACCCATTCCTTTCCAACTTGCCTTCTTTTCACAGTATTGCATCTTTGTGTGTATATTTGAATCAGCCTGTCTCAGAGACCCTGGGGTGGAGGAGATGCTGTAGAGAGAAATCAGTCCTCTGCCTTTGTCCTTGCTCATCAGAAATGGGGAAAGAGGGCAGGGGTGGTAGAGTGTGTGTGTGTGTGTGTGTGTGTGTGTGTGTGTGTGTGTGTGTGTGTATGTGTGAGTCTCATTGGCAGAGCACTTGCCTAATGTGCACAAAGCCCTGGGTTTGATCCCTGGCACCACTGGTAGTACATGTCTGTAAATCCCAGAATTTGGGAAGCGGAGGCAAGAGAATCAGGAGTTCAAGGCTGGCCTGGGCTACATAACAAGTTAGGGTTCATCTTGGGCTACATGAGACCCTGCCATAGAGAGAATGAGAGAGAGAGATAAATAGAGAGAGAGAGGGAGAAAGAGAGAGAGAGAGAGAGAGAGAGAGAGAGAGAGAGAGAGAGTGCACTTATAGTAAAGGAAGGAAGAAAGTCAACGTGAAAGGCTTCTTGATTCTAAAGTCTTGGAACTCTGAGGCTCCTGTATCTATATAGGAAATGGCCTTTCCTTTGTCACTTATCCTGGAGTAGTTTTGATTTTTTTTATTGTATGTGTATGGGTGTTTTGTCTACATGTATGTCTGTATACCAGGTGCATGCCTGGTGCCTGCAGATGCAGAAGAGGGCATTGAATCCCCTGGGCCTAGAATTATAGACAAGTGTGAGCTACCACGTGGGTGCTGGAAAATCACATCCAAGTCCTCTGGAACAGCAGTCAGAGCTCTTATTTGCTGGAACTGTCTCATCAGCCCCAGCTTTTATTTTATTTTTTAATGACCTTATAACAGGTCAATACCCAGTAAACAGAAGAAGATAGCTTCATTTTTTTCTTGCCCCTCCATCAGAAGGAGTTTATAAGCATCTCAGCAGCAGGAAGGCTGACCACTGAAATGTCTGCTCATTGAGGAAAAGGCTTGGGCTCTGTGCTCTTAGTGTGGGTTAATGTGCGTAAGCAGAGCTGGCTGGGCACTATGGACTGAGTCAAGTCCTTTATCTGTCTGTATCTCATTTGGTAACCCTGACAGTCTGGTGTGGGCAGGCAGCCTGTTCACCTGGAACAGACATGATTTTAGCCCTGGAAGACCGCCTCTCTCATCCCTGGAAATACCTCCCCATCCACCACAGCCTTCCCCCTACAGAGTGAATTGCATACTGAATGCTGGGACATCCCCAGGTGAATCTAACTCACCCGACTGGGTCTTGGGGTCAAGTTTTCATTAGCAACTGAGTAGAGTGGAGACAAACTCATGAACCTAGGGCTCTTGCTTCTGTGGCATCTCAAGAGATTCTCAGACAAGAACAATGCTTTTCCTGGGCAGAAAGCATGTCTCTTGCCCATGCTCATTGCGGCTTGCCGGTGCTAGTCATCACGCATTCTAGGCCTGAATGCAGCTTGAACAGCCTATAAAAATTGAGTTCCTAAATTATATTCACACCGAGAAAAGAGAAAGGTAAGGAAGAAGAAAGAGAGGAAGAGAGACGATATGCTATTATTTCCCTTTATTCCCAACCAGCCTCTCTTTCACTGACCACTGATGAAGAGTAACATTCATATAGGCTTTGGAGTCGACGGTTAATTTCCCAGCTCCACTGATTACAGGTTATATTATGCTTGGTGTCTTTGAACTTTGCTCTCCTAAAATAACTACAGGATAATGATATACCTCTCTCTCAGGATGATGAGAGGATTAACTAGGATGACTATACTTCAAATTGTACCACAGAGCTGCAGTAAATCAAAACAGCACATTACTGGTAAGCAACAACAACAAAATAAAATAAAAGCAATGGAGCAAAGAAAGCACAAGAAGTGAACCCAGCCATATGGAGTCAGCTGGTATTTAACCAGGGTAGCACGAATGTACAATGGGAAAAGTAAGTCACTTTATTAACCAGTATTGGTAAACAATGCATATTCATTGCAAAAAAAAAATGAAACCCGACACCCTTATACATCCACAATCTCAAAATAGATTAAAGACTCCAGAGCAAAACTTCCAAACCAAGGACAGCAGGGATGTCAACAACCTGAGTGTGATTCCTGGCTCCCTGTTTCCACACGATGGAAGGAGAGAACTGACTCCCACACGCTGTCCCCTGAAACTCCACACATTCACCACAACACAAGCCTTCATCCACAAAATAAATGTAAAAACACTTTTTAAATTTCCAGGCTGCAAAGGCTCCTCCAACCTAGAGGGGAATCACGTTGTCAATAGTCCCATGGGTGATTTTGGAGATTTGACACCAAAAGCCCAGGTAACAAAAGCAAGTGTGTGGGGAAGCTTCAAATGAAAATGTCTCTGCAGACCTCCACCAGATGAGGGCAGCTCCCAGTGCTGGAGCTACAAACACATGACCACCATGCCTGGTTCATGGTCTGGAACTGAGCCCAGAACTTCCTGTGCACAGGACAAGCACTTTGAGCTATACCTCCAACCAGACCACAGTTCTCAACATCACAGAGAGAGGCCAGAGAGCTTTAGGTTAGCTGCGTCAGTGAGAGGAGAGTAGTGGAACCCTAAGAGTTAACACTGAGCCCATGGCATGCACCCATATTCTACAGAAAACCCCCCACCTGGCTGTACTGTACCCAGCGGCAGCCTGGCTCTCCAGAGCATGCCCTTGAGAAAACTTACGAGTCCTTTTGGTACAATCCATGCCGCCTCCCCGGCTGCTGGCCCTGATCCCTGGGCCGGCCAGTTCCTGCTGTGGTTTGTCTGGCTGCAGGCACCACTGGACTTTTTGCAGGCCCGAAAGATGTCCCTTTGAGTCACTTTTCCTTTGAGAGTAACTGGGGACTGGAAACCCAATATGTATTGAAGGGAAATCTGTGGAAACAGCAGAGAGAGGAGGCAGTGACTGAACCAGTCACAGAGTCAGCTTTAGAGGCAATATGGAAGACATGGCTGCCTGGACAGAGGCAGACTCCCAGCGCTTAGGAAAACAGAATTCAACCTGTACACCAGCTCAGTCTATGCTGGGAATAGAGTTCTGCTAGAATGCACATACAGTGGGGGGGGTGGCGCTGGAGAGGGGGCACGTCTCATTCTTGCCTTTGCACAGCAATGACAACCAACAAGCCCAGGAAAATAAACCCAAACGCAAAATCTGAAGCATGCTTTCTCTTGAATGTTTTTGTTTCCCCATTGTTGTAAAATCAAAACATCATGGCTCAGAAGTTCAGGCCACACACTGCTCTTGTAGAAGACCTGAGTTTGGTTCCTAACACCTATGCCTACAGCTCACTAATAACCTGCCTGTAACTTCAGCTCCAGCGGCCCTGATACCCTCCTCCAGACTCTGAGGGCACCGGAATGAACATGTATACACACACTAAAAAAATAAAAAATAAAAAATCACATCACGTTTTGTTAAGTCAGGGACCGCTCACCACAGACTTCAGGGCTCTAAGCCAACAACTCTCCACCAACAGAAACAGCCCTGTAGCTTCCTTGTGCAGGCTCTAACTCAGCCACTGGTTTCAGAATCTACTAAATATTGGTGTCTGTCATTGATCATAGCTGGGAGCATTGGTAAATTCAATGGCTTTATGTTGCAGGATCTCTGCTCTAATCCACCCAGACAAAATGTGCAGTCATGTGGTCCCTAGAGACATGTTCAGTTCAGTAGTTTATCACTGTGACATGACACTGTCAACTACAAAGACAAAGTTCACACCTCAAAAACTGCACAACTGAATTACAAAAAAAAATGCAACGCCACAAAACGTTATTTGGGAGTGTGTGGGTTCATGCGCATGCACACACCGTGTGCTTGCAGAGGCCTAAGATTGGTGTCAGATGTCCCCCTTGATGACTCTCCTTTATTCTCTCGGGTACCCAGAGCTGGATGACTGGGCTCGTCTACCTAGGCAGCTTGCTCTAGGGATTCCCTGCCTCTGCCTTCCAAGTGCTGAAGTTACAGGTCTCCACCACACTCGCCCAACATGTGTCCTGGGGAACCAAACTCTGGTTTTCACACTTGCACAGCAAACAGCAAATGTTTTACCCACTGAGTCATCTCCCCAGTCTGTCATATTTTTTCCTTTGGTGGGGGAGAGTGTTGTCTTTTTGAGACAGGGTTTCTTCTAGTTCTGTTGGGCTGGCCTCGAACTCAGAGATCGGCCTGCTCTGCTTCTTGAGTGCTGGGATTAGAGGTGAGCACCACAACCACCTGACCGGCATGTTTTTAAAGTAAGCTTATGGCTTGGCGTTGGGCCACCGTCAGAGCTACTTAGCAGTCAGTGAGCCTGGATTGGACCTGCCTGCTAGGACACAGTAGGCTGGTCCCACCAGCTTCAAGGACACACTGCCAAGAGTCCAAGAAAGAGACAGCTCTCTTCAGTCTCTAATTAGGAGTGCTGATACGGTGACACTCCAGGAATTCTCAGGCCCTTGTGGGAATCCCAATAGGTTTTCAAAATGTTGTCACCTTGACCTGGTTGTCTCCTCCTGTAGACTGTAGGATCCAGCTTTCTGCCCCCAGCCTTCTCCTCTTCCACCTTCATCACTACGAAGGAAAAGATGAACACGGCTTCAGAATACTGAAAGCTACAGAGATGCCCAGTCAGCAAAGCCTTGCCCTGCTAGCAGAGTTTGATTTCCCAAACCCACTCTTTATTTTATTTTATTTTATTTTATTTTGTTTTTTGAGACAGGGTTTCTCTGTGGCTTTGGAGGCTGTCCTGTAACTCACTTTGTAGACCAGGCTGGTCTCAAACTCACAGAGATCCACCTGCCTCTGCCTCCCGAGTGCTGGGATTAAAGGCGTGCGCCACCAACGCCCGGCCCCAAACCCACATCAAAAGCCAGATGTGGTGAAGCTCACTTATAATTCCAGTGATGGGGAGTTGGGAGACAGACGGGTTCCTGGGACTCACTGGCCAGCCAGCCTAGCTGAGTTTGAAAATTCCAGGTAAATATGAGAAAGCTTTTCTTAAAACTCAAGATGGATGACGTGCTGAGGAATGGTATGCTATGTTAGCCTTTGGCTTCCACATGTACAACAAATTTAAGTGCATGTCCACCAGAACACACATATGCACACGAAATAAAAAAATTGTAAGTTAAAAAATAAAATACGGATGATAATGGATAGCATTAATAGGCAGTATTTTGAGAGTATCTCTGTATGACTTGCCTCACCAGTACTATAGTATTGATTTACCCCACTGGGGATGCAGCCCAGAGCCTTGCCTTTGTTTGTTTGTTTGGGTTTTTGAGATGGGGTTTCTTTGTGTAGCTCTGGCTGTCCTGGAACTGCCTTTAGCTCACAGAGACCCACCTGCCTCTGCCTCCTGAGTGGTGGGATTAAAGGCGTGTGCCACCACTGTAAGCCTTGCCTATCTTTGTTGTTTTTGTTTTGCTTTGTTTTTCAAGGCAGGGTTTCTTTGTGTGTGGTCCTGGTTGTCCTGGAACTCACTATCTAGACCAAGCTGGCATCAAACTCACAGAGATCCACCTGCCTCTGCTTCTAGAGTCTTGGGATCAAAGGTGTGTGCCACCACCACCTGACCACTTAAAATTAATTTGTTGATTTTGAGACAAAGTTTGTGTATAGCCTTGACTGGCCTGGAATTCACTATATAGACAAGGCTGGTCTGAAACTCAGAAATCTGCCTGCCTCTGCCTCTCAAGTGGTGGGATTAAAAAGCATGTACCATGAAGGTCTTGCCAGCAAGTGTTCAACTACTGAGTCTCACATCCAACCATTGGTACCATTATACAAATATGGAACTGAGCACTAAGATCTAAATGTCTGTCAAAAGGAGAAAGAGAAATTTAAACCCAGATTGTCTGTTTTGGGAAACTATGCAGAGTTCTTAGCCTAAAGGTTTCTAAAAGTATACTTCCATCATAAAAATAACAGAAGTGTCAAACTTACCATTAAAAGAGTTTGAACACCTATTAATGATACAAAATGTTCATCGTTCCTTTATCCAGTTTTATTCTGTTGTCATTTTGAGACAGGGTCTCTCATGTAGCACTAGCTGGCCTAAAATTCACTGTGTAGAGCAAATTGGTCTTTAACTCACAGAGACACTCCTGCCTCTACCTCTTGAGCTCTGAGATTAAAGGTGTTCACTACCACAGCCTGTGTGTTCAAAAACTTCTGTACAGTAAAAAATAAATAACAAAAGTCAAGCATGGTGGCACACCCTTTTCATTCCAGGCCTCAAGAGCAGAGGCAGGCAGATCTCTATATGTGAGGCCCACCTAGACTACATAGTGAATTCCGGGCCAACTAGGACTATATAGTGAGGCCCTATCTCAAAAACAAACAACAATAACAAAACATAATCCATTGATTGTGCCAACAAGTGTGATACCTGTTCGGCTGTTATTTGTGGGTCTGATGGCTGGTGTGCAGTCTCCCTGATCAGCTGGTCCGTTATGACTGACCAGTGTTGAGGCCGTGTTGGTTGTTAATTGCTCTGAGTCTCCTTGATGGAAATAACTGTCTTGGGGATGGAGCGAAGGAAGGCTAGAAGAAAAGGCAAGTGGCAAGAGGGAGTGGCCAATGGTGAGCTGGGTGACAGATGGCCAAGGTGACTGCTGGCTCTGCTTCACCTCATTGCAGTGGCAGCTCCCTCCCACTGCCTTGGCAAAGTTGCCCTCTGCTGTTATGAATCTCCATATCATAACACATCTGGGAAGCCCCATAGAAGAACCAAAATGAAGAGTAAGCGCTGTCCCTAGAAAATCCCAAGCCACCCCTGGAATTCCCCACATTTCCCCTAACGTAACTCATGAACAATTTACCTTTAAGATGAGTCTTCTAAAATCCCAGTGGTGGCCAGTGAGGTGGCTCTGGGTAAAAACATTGCCCCCAAAATCTAGGGACTGAGTTCAATTCCCCAAATCCACATAAATGTGGAGGGAGAGAACTGACTCCACAGACTGGCGTGAGCAACACACATGATGATGATGATGAGGATGGTGATGAATCCAATACATTCATATTTTAAACTGCAGCAGTGCGGCTCTCTCCTTTTATCTAAATGTCTAGCTTTCTTTTTCCCCGACACAGCATCTCATGTATCCCACAATGGCTTCAAGCTTGATACATGAACACACACACACACACACACACACACACACACTCTGAAAAAAGATGAAGAAATTGCAACAAGGAGACTTAAATCATTTGTCCCAAGTCATAGAGCAGGCTCTGGTGGAGCCTGTATTCCAATTTACTTCTTTCTGATTCCTAAGCCCAGGAGAGTAAGGGAGGGAGAGAGAAGGGAGGAATGGGAGAGAAAGGAGGGAGGGGGAGAGAAAGGAGAGGAGCAAAGGGGAGGGGTCTGGCTGAATTCCTGTACTCACCACAGCCCAGGACCCTATAGGAGCTGACTCAACACCTTCAGCCGATTAGAGTGAATTATGTCTGAAGAGTGTGAAACCCTACAACTACCCATGATGATGTTGCCAAAGACAGACGGCAACACCCCGGCATGCAGCAAGGGAAGAGCGGCAAGGACAGTTTTTCCTGTCCCCAGGCCTCCCTTCCCAACTGGAGACCATCGTTTCCCCATCCTCCTTGGGTCCCAAATCACCTTGGCCTTGAGCATGGTTCACTGTTCAGACCCCATTTTCTTTTGTTCTGAGACACGGGCCAGCACCTTTCCACGTCCCTGCTGCCATCCCTGGATCTAGGAGCCTAAAGAATAACCTAAAACCTTCTTAGCAAGATAAATACTCTGAACTCGAGTGGCTGAGTCAGTGGTACCCTGGCCCACAGACATCCAAACTCCCGCCCCCAGCAGCCTTTATGTCCAGTGTAGCAAGGCGTAGTGATGCAGCCACCCTTAAATTTATACAGTACTTCATGACCATCAGAAGCGTAGTGGCAGAATCATCTGCCAGCTGTAAATACCTACTGCCCCACCCCATCCACAGGGCACATTGATTCAGGCAAGCCCATGCAGATATGTGCATCAGGGGCCCGGGCACAGTCGGGATGAAACAACGGTCTGATTATTAGGGAAGAAAGGCAAAGGATGCTGATTCATCCTCAGCGCTAGGCAGCCGTGGCTCTGGACATGAACTACCTAGAGAACGCTTGCACTACACTTGCTGCTCTACCAATACAGGAGCTTTTTCTCCCCCTTGTCTTTTAAGCCGTTTGACCTCTATGTTTAAGAATGTTAAACCAGACAGCATGGTGTCTGGTGAGCCCGAGAATCACAGGAAAGGAATTCCTCTCTGGTGCAGCCTGGATGATTTTGTCCAAAAATGACACAGGACCATGCTAGGCCTTAGGAAGCTGAGCTAGAAACTAGACAAAGGAAGGTGGGCATGGTCGCACATGCTTGTCATTCCAGCACTTGAGAGGTGGAGGCAGGAGCATCAGGAGTTCAGGACCAGCCTGTGCTACATAGCCAACTCCAGGACAGCCTAGGATGCATGAGACCCTGACTCAAACAAACCAAACAAAAGAAAAATCTCTAGAAAGGCCACCTTCCAACCAGAGGCTCATTGGTCCTCAGGCCTGCGAAGCGAGCTCCGATCTTCCAGCAGAGAAAAACAAGAAAAGGAAATGTCCCTGAACAATTAGCATTAGTCACTCCAGGTACCATATCCACAACCTAGGAATGAAAATGCGGAATGAAAATTTAGCAATTCTTTCTCCATCCCAGGTGTCACACTAACAGTCGCGATTTTTCTCTACAACCTGCAGGCAGAGAAGAGGCAAGCCTCAGGCTTCTGGATGCTTCTTAAGTATTTCCAGGCTCACAAGCATTGTAACTACAGACAGAAACTCACAGGCCTGGAAGTGAAAGAAACTTGCTTCCATCAGATGGCAAGTTGCAGTAACTCACCGGGGTTCTGGGAGATTTGGAGAATTCGCACCCCAAACCAGTGAACTCAAGGCACTAGGATGACGACGAATACAGTATAAATTTCAAAGGAAAGGCAAACACCCAGGGCTCATCTGGAGAGTTGGTCTAGCATTCTGTGTCAGTGTGTATGACAATCACACTTCAACACTCAGAGTACACACTCAGAAAAACACACTTTGTCTATGACACTTTAAGCTGCAGACTTACCGTGTGTTCTCTGGAAGCAGTGGACACCAGGCTCCAAATCGCAGGAAGGCCAGAGCCCCTGGCTCGGCTCCCGTTGGGTGGCAGGAAGGCTTTCTGTGGCTTCCAGGCTGAGCAGTATTTGGGGCATTGGAGATTGACTTCTGGGGTTCAGTAGCGGTCAACCATGTGACCAGGGTGGGGGAAGGGACACTCCTGCAGGGTCAGGCACCGATGCCTGATTGGCTGACAGACTAGGTACAGCAGGGGCTGACTAGGGCCCACAACAGCAGGGGACTTTACTCCAAATATCTTCTCTAATTTAATTGATAATTTTAACCTGGTGAGCATTTCATGACTATGGTGTATTCCAGCCTTGAGTCTGAAGTACCGATTTATCTCCCTGCTTGGTTTTCTTTTCTCTTTGGAATTCTGTACTCTCTCTCTCTCTCTCTCTCTCTCTCTCTCTCTCTCTCTCTCTCTCTCTCTGTGTGTGTGTGTGTGTGTGTGTGTGTGTGTGTGTGTGTGTGTGTGTGTGTGTGTTCCTGCCGTAGCACATATGCAGAGGTCAAATGAATTGTGGGACTCAGTTCTCTGCTTCTACTCTGTGGGCTCCGGGTATTGAACTCAAGCCTTTGCTTTTGCCCACTGAACTATCTTGCTGGCCTCGGATCTTTTTTTATTATTATTTATTCTGACTTGGAGGGATGTTACAGCTGAAAGAAAACTTGGAGATGATCTCATTCTACCCCAAAGTACCCAATTTAAGTGAAGGGAAACTGAGATCCAGAGGGATGTGGCATCATTTTTAGGAGTCTGTGCAGGCTTAGGTCAGTTGACATACAATGATGACCCCAGCTGACTCAAAATTACAGCTCATTTGAAGGTCTTCAGCTTTCAGGTGTTAGATCTAAGGACTGGTAAGATGATGACATGGGATCCGGCACTGCAGGCACCTAAAGGTGCAGCCATTAGAGTGAGAAATGACTGAGGAATAATGCAGCCAGGACTATAGTCAGCACATTTGGACATCATGAGTTCCTTGCTTATTTGCATATTGTCTTGCCCTCTGATGTGGGAAAGACTTCATTTTGTTCAGATATGTCTCTGGTATCCAAATAAAGTATGGCTTGTAGATGGTTGGGCTCAAATACCAGCTCAAATTGGGTTTGTTTTGTTTTTTAAATGGGTTCAGAGCTCAGTTAATCTCTGTGGGACCTTGGACGAAGTGGTTTCTGGAAGTGGTAATGGTTTCCTTCCTTCCCTTCTTCCTTCCTTCCTTCCCTTCTTCCTTCCCTCCTTCCCTTCTCCCTTCCTTCCTTCCTTCCTTCCTTCCTTCCTTCCTCTCTCCCTCTCTCCCTCTCTCCCTCCTTCCTTCCTTTTCTTTTTTAACCTCAATTTCCTCAACTGGAGAAAGTGGGGATAATCACGTCTATGTCTGCAGTTGATTGAGTCTAGGCAGGTGACATATTAGGCTAGTGCCTGGCTAGTAACATTTCATATTTGCAACACTTGCAGTAAGCTGGCAACATGTACTGGATTAGTGGGGACCAGGTAGGTTGTGTTTTAGCAGAGAGGGGGCAGCTGACTCCTAGTCTTCCTAGCATCTAGGAACTAACATCCCCTGCTGGCCCTGGCAGAGCAAGGGCTGGGCCTCTCCTCCTGCCTTCTCTCTGCTGCCACCTGAAGGTCATCTACGGCAGTGAGCCGAGACTCACAAAGTACATCTCCCACAGAGGGAATTGAGCTTTTGACAGTCCCTTTCCCTCTGAGCTTCCAAGCTTGGTCCTTGACAAAGCTTCCACTGTAGCCGATTGGCAATGCTACCGGAAACCATTAAGACCAGAAAGGAACTGAGAGTACTTAGGCAGCCATTTCTGAGACTTGGCCCCAGAATGTGCAGGCAGCTAGGACTGGCTACTGTCCTCCAGGTCTCCATTGAGGCTGTATTTGCTGAGCTGAGAGCAGTGCTCCGGTCAGTTCCTCCAAGCTGAGCCACACTGTTCCCATCCTGACTGAAGTCAGTCTCCTTGGGGGACAAAGGATCATTATGCTATCAGTCTGCTTCTCTGGAGGCATGGTGTGTGTGTATGGTGGGGCGCGGGGGATCATCACTGAGAATCAAAGGCACTAGTATGCTCATTAGACTATCATTGGGAGGGGGAGGTTTCATTTCCAATACAGCCTGGTGTGGTAACACACACCTTTAGCCTCAGCACCCTGGAAGCAGAGGTAGCAGGATCTCTGCGAGTTCAAGGCCAGCCTGGTCTGCACAGTCAGTTCCAGGACATAATGAGACAATGTCTCAACAAATAAATAAATAACATTAAAATTTTTAATGCAAAACATCTACAAATGAACTTGCTTAGATGTGTGTCTTATATGAGATAGTGCAATAAACATTGCTTAGGAATATATAACAAAGAACCCGGATGAGGAAAATATTAAATATTCAGAAATGTATATAAAATTAAAATACAACCCAGTGACATTTTAGATGATAAAAGAAAAGGAAAACCATTCCTAAAGTATTAAAGGTCTCTCAAACCTTCACTGTGGAGCCCCACCATGCCGTGTTCATTAAAAGGAATTTCTGTTCCCATTTACAGATGAGAAAACTGAGGTCTAGTGAGGCTAGATTGGCTCGTGCAAGGTCACATGGTGAACAACCAGACAGACTGGGGGTAATGACTCACACCTGTAACCAAGCACTGGGGAGCATGAAGTAGTGTTGTGGGATATTTGTACACTGTGTGGTGTAGTAAAAAGCTGAGCGTCCAATGGCGAGGCAGGAGGCACAGGCAGGACTTCCGGGGAGAAAAAGGAAGAGGCTCACATGGGAGGTGCCAGGAGACGCAGAGTGGAGACAGGAGGTGCAGGATGGAAGAGAGGTGACACCAAGTGATAGAACACAGATTAATATTTGGGAGCTGGCTGGTGGGACAGAAAAAGACGTTTTACATTTGGTGCGCCAATGTGTGGCACAACCAAATGGATGGAGAAGTCACGCCAGCCAGTGGCACAGCCACTCCAGTAGCTGTGTGGGCCTCTCTGCGAGCACTCGCAACTCCTGGCTGCTGCTCAAGAGGACTCAGGAAAGTGGGCGCAGCAACTTCCTAAAGCTGGAGCAGTAGACCCCCACTCCCACACTGCAACTTCCTAAAGCTGGAGCAGTAGACCCCACCCCCACGTTGCAGCTTCCTAAAGCTGGAGCAGTAGACCCCACCCCACACTGCAACTTCCTAAAGCTGGAGCAGTAGACCCCACTCCCACACTGCAGCTTCCTAAAGCTGGAGCAGTAGAGCCCACCCCCACACTGCAGCTTCCTAAAGCTGGAGCAGTAGACCCCACCCCACACTGCAACTTCCTAAAGCTGGAGCAGTAGACCCCACCCCCACACTGCAGCTTCCTAAAGCTGGAGCAGTAGACCCCACCCCCACACTGCAGCTTCCTAAAGCTGGAGCAGTAGACCCCACTCCCATACTGGCATGAGGCTAAGCTCTCAGGGAACCAAGAGGGGTGGAGCCACCCAGCAGAGCTGTGTGACAGTAGCCTGGCTGTTTAAGGCTTGTCTTACCTGGTCAGAGAACACTACAGACATGCAGAAAGCCAGGTGTGCGCGCATGCGCGCACACACACACACACACACACACACACACACACACACACACACACACACACACACACACACACAGGCTGTTTAAGGTTTGTCTTACCTGGTCAGAGAACACTAGAACACTACAAACACTACAGACATACAGAAAACCAGGTGCACACACTCTCTCTCTCAATAGTACAGTATACTTCAAATGTGTTTAGATGCTGAAGAAAATGAGTATAGACAGTCATAGAAAAAATAGTTTAAAAATAATAAAGTTTTTAAAGAGAGTAAAGTAATATAACAAGAATAAGCCATGTAAGGATGGGAATACACAGGGAGTCTGGATCCTATATGATGCTTTATTGGCTTTGAATTTTTTAAATGCTAATGTACAAAAAACAGTAACTGCTGAGACATTGGATTTATCATTTGTTACTCTAATTTCTCCTTTTTTGCTTTTAGAATTCATATATTAAAATTTATATAAGCAGAGGCCTGGAGAGGAGGCTCAGCAGTTAAGAGTTCTTGGCACTCTCCCAGAAGACCTGGGTTCAGTTCCCAGCACCTGCATGGTGGCTCACAGATGTCTGTAATTCCAGTTCCATGTGATCCAGCGCCTGCTTCTGGCCTCCCTGGGCATCAGGCAGGTGACACACAGACATTCACGAAGGAGAACACCCACTGCTGTCAACATTTCTTCCCAGTGGGAGACATTAACCACATCTACATCTCCCAAGGTCCCGAAAACAAACTGAGGCTCGACTCTGCCAAAGTTCACCTGGGAACAAACGAGTTTGCTGGATTTCACTAATCAGAGCATAGGTGAAGGGTTATTTATGGGGTGTGGGTACTCCTCCCTGCGGTGCCTGCGCCACAAGCAACTCCAAGGTATCAGGAAAAGAAAAGACAAGATGTCCAGCTATTTGTACTAAGAGAATGCATGTGCTGCCTTTATTGCCAGAGAGAGAGAGAGAGAGAGAGAGAGAGAGAGAGAGAGAGAGAGAGAGAGAGAGAGAGAGAGAGAGAGAGAGAGTGTGTGTGTGTGTGTGTGTGTGTGTGTCTTCATTGCAAGTGCTAAGAGGTCTCTCTCTTGTAGGAGGGAGCAGTCTTATATATAGTCTTACAACACAGTAGAAAAACCCCAGGTGGAAGAGAGTGTATTTTCCTCCGACTGGATGTTGATGTGAGAGGGTCAAGGCCAGGGCAGGAATCCGGGACTAGAAAACAGGATGGACTTGTACCCTGTGGGGGCTGGGGCCCAACACCTCCCTGCAACAGGCCGTAACTGCGAACCCTTTGCCCAGCATGGACAAGGGTTCCCCACAGTTGCATAGACCTAGTCATCCCGGGTCCATATACTCTAGTTCCATGTGCAATTAAAGCCGAGTTGCATGCAACTGGTGGTGGGGAACCATTGGATACTCAGCTGAGGCTCTTGTGACCTCATAGGGGTTGGTGGGTGCAGTGATCAGTTCATATGCCCAACCGGGATAATCCTTCTGCAAGGGGGAGCAGCAGAACTCCCCAAGAGAGCAGTCTCTTGGGTT